AGCCAAGTCAGGTACACGGTCACGGACCGCGTGCCTGACTTGCGGGAGCAGCTACACGTTCTGCATCTCCGTCGGATGCAGACCGCAGAGGTGCTCATAGGCCCCATTCACATCTAGATTTTAGGGGCGAATAGGGATTCCTGTGTCACAAACTTCTGTTTTCCTGCACAGGAATCCCTAACCTGGCATTTACATGCAGCAACTGTTACCCATTCAAGTCAATGATCGGGTGACAGCTGCTGCATGTACACACCTGCATACCGCATGTAATCATATGTGATACGATTACATGCAATTACAAAAACAATCACTATCCCTGGACAAGATGTTCCGCTCAAGAATTTGAGTCTGAGTATTGCTCAGACGCTAGACAATTCATAAAAAAGGACTTTTAGGTAGATGACTGTTTAAAATCTCTACCTTCCAATGAGCCAGCAATCAGTCTCCTCAAAAGAGCACAGCACATGCTCGCCGGCTTTAAATTCAGGCTTCACAAAATTGCTTCTAACAGTAAAGAAGTAATGGAAGCTATCCCTTCTCAAGATCACTTAAAATGATCTAAGAGACGTAGATTTGGGGACAGACTCTTTACCTGTCTTGGCATACTCTGGGACATGAAATCTGATGCTTTTACCTTCCAAATACAGTAGACAGAGAAGAAAAACCTTTTACTCACAGAGGTGTATTGTCTACAATTAATGGTCTGTATGATCCATTAGGATTTGCAGCCCCTGTCACAATTTAAGGTAAAGTGTTACTTAGAGACCTAACTCGTGAAACACCTGACTGGGATGCCCCACTGCCCCTGATAAGAAGAAATTTTGGGTAGAAAGGAATAATTCTCTAACAGCCTTATCTGATCTCCATGTTTCACGCTCATATGCTTCCATATGCTTCCATACCGTCTACAAAGGTACAGAGTCAAAAACTTTGCATATTTTCTGATGCTTCTGTCAAAGCAATAGCAGTTGTTATCTACTTAAAGACTGTAAATGTTACAGCACAATGCCATGTTGGATTTGTCATGGGCAAAAATAACTAGCTCCACACCCTGAGCACACCATTCCTAGACTAGAGCTTTGTGCTGCAGTATTAGCTGTCAACTTATTACCTCAGAAATGGCAGTTGATCTCAAAGATGCTGATTTCTACACTGACAGTAAGGTACTGTAGTGTTAGGCTACATCTATAATGAAACTAGACGATTCTATGTTTACGTTAACAACAGAGTGCTAAGGATCACAAGATCCACCCATCCAACACAATGGCACTATGTATCTATTGATCATAATCCTGCAGACCATACTACAAGAGCTGTTGCTGCATGTCACCTTAGAGACACAACATGGCTTACAGAACCTGCATTCTTGTACAGTACAGAACAGACTGTTCCAGATAAGGACAGAATAGTACTAGTAGATCCCGACTCAGATGTTGAAATCTGTCCTGAGATTTCCACCCTTCAGACAGTGACTTCAGACAGTCAACTTAGATCTCACAGATTTACCAGATTTTCAACCTGGAAGTCACTTGTTCGAGTTATTACTTTTCTTATTCACATAGCTCATTCCTTCGAAGGGGTCACGCATTCAAATGACAGAGACTGTAAAGGCTGGCACCATTGTCAAAAGGTTAATTCTACGGTGGAACTCCAGCAGTCCCGAGATCTCATCATGCACACTGTGCAATATGAAAGCTATGCCAGGGAGACTGACTGTATCCTAAACAAAAAAAAATCACTCCCTAGTGACAGTGCTCTGCAAAAACTTGACCCATTTCTTGACCAAAATAACCTATTGAGAGCAGGTGGTTGTCTTAGTGAGGCAGAACTAGAACCAGATGAGAAACAACCCCTAATAATTCCTGGCCATCATCATATCACTGCTTTGATTGTATTGTACTACCACCTTCAAGTCAAACACCAAGAATGACTATTCACGGAAGGAGCCTTACTGGCTTTTGGATAGTTGGAGTCAAAAGATGAGCAAGTAGTGTAATCTTCAAATGTATTACTTGCCGCAACCTTCGTGGCATGATGCAGGCACAAAAGATGGCTAATCTTCCAGCTGATAGACTTAGTCCAGACCCCCCTTTCACAAATGTCGGCCTTGATGTCTTTGGTCCATGGTCTGTCATCACACGCCACACTAGGTGGTCAGTTAAACGGCAAGTGCTGGGCAGTCATATTCATTTGCATGACTATCAGTGCAGTTCGCATTGAAGTTATTGAGTCCATGGACACTTCTAGCTTCGAAGCCCCGTGAAACACATTAGTTCAGACATAGGCGCTAACTTTGTCAGGGCAGCTAAAGAACTTAAAATTACTTCAAACATTGACACCAAAAGAGTGGAGAGGCATCTCAGTGATCAGGGCTGTACATGGACTTTCAACCCACCTGGGAAAGAATGATCGGCATAGCGTGCAAAATACTTGACTTTATTTTCTTACAAGTAGGGAAAAAAGAACAAAAGGAACTGCCACAAGGAACAGCCACATAACTCTCATGCATAGACCAAAAGTAAGTAACCCCCAGACTAAGAAGTCTGAGTCAGTAGTAGAAAACAAGTGGTGACAACTCTGGCTTGAGCTGTAACTAAGAAGAAACTCAGATATTCCAAGCGGTGAGTCGGTTCCAATGCTGCTATTGAACAATTAAGGCCCAGCAAGATCTGGATGATTGAGTCACACGGGCAGCCAACACTCATCCCCTAAACAGGGGGATTGGCCACGAAAACGGCCACAACTAGGAGCCACAGCACTGTGCACATGGCGCTGGCAGCACATGGAGCTGCAGTTGCTGGGGCATACAGAGTGACTTACTGGTGCTGAAGCTGAACCTGTCGGGGTAGCTGCATAGAGCCCTGTCCACACCAAACATACAAGTGCAGATCTCAAATTGTGAGTGTACTTACAAACCACAGGTTTCATAAAGGGTACCATCTCCCAAGACAGAACCTCTCCAACTGAAGCTGGGGCACTGTTTGTTGGGGGGCCACTGTGACAGAGCAATAAGTCACCCTGTCATATGTCACACATAGCTAAGGATCTACATGAATTCGATGGCTGAGCTGGGTAGACTACAAGGATCTATATTATCTAGCTTCTCACCCAGCTCAGTGATGTAAAGCACTTCCTGTTCATTCATAACTGGGGACACATAGTACTACTCTATGTGTCCCCAGTTGTTTACAAACACTGGAGTGATCAGCCGATCACTCCATTGTTTGTTCTGCAAAGAGGATTGGTAAATATCACAGATATTTACCGATCCTCCCGCTCTGCCATCCTGAGCGCACGGCCACGCACAGATGACATAGTTGCCTGCCCAAGAGAAAGTAACAGCCAGCGGCTCTAATCTGCTCACCGCTCGGCCATCCTGACAAACGACTTCCTCCTCCACTCCCCCCCCCGCCAGCCATTTCTCCTCTGATCCCTGCTGCCTCAGCCCATACAAGCGGGGGAGAGCAGCAGGGATTCGGGGAGAAGTCGATCCCAGCCTGGAGCGACTATATAGGGGGAGGAGAGTCTGCAGGTGCCGGCGGGGTGGGGGGTGCACCCAGGTTTTGTGTTAATAGCTGTCATCAGCGGCTTGTTAGCCGCTGATGACAGCGATTATTTTACAGAGGACTGACAGGGGAACTGTTCTGGTATAAGTTCATGGTCGCTAAAGCGACCATGAGCTTATACCAGAACAGTAAAAGCCACTGATGTAAGGCTTACGAACGTGCCCTGCTGGAAGTAGTTGTGTTCTGCTGTAAGCATTACGTCCGTGGCAGCGAAAGGGTTAATGAACAAAAAGAAAGGTAAGTATTCAAAGTTGTGTTTTACAACTATGCTTTGACTGGAAAATGTTAGCATAGTGATAGAATGGCTTTAAAGTGGACCTTTATCCATATCTTTAAAATAACGACAAAATTAAATGTTTAGTAATGGCAATCTACAAACACATACTTCTAGATAATTGCAGGCTTTGTATTCTTTGCATACCTTATTTCTCTCTTCTTCCAGAGTCTTCTGGCAGTGGCCATGTTAACTAAGGGCAGATTACTAGCTCTTCATTTACTTTGTTGAACTCTGGCACATGTGACTAGACATGTGACTAGGACATGTGACCATGCACATAATCTCAGGAGAGGAAAATTACTTTCCCTGAGATATCATGAGATTACAGATGAGATTTACCAGCAATGCTACGCAAAGCTTTATAACGTACATCATTTGTGCCAGAACTGGACCAGGTTAACTATTTGTAAGAAAATGAAAAACAAGTTTGTTTAACTAATGAATGTAAGACGATTTTAAGACAGCATGCAGAGCTGCATGCTATAATTTTTAGTAAAAGCTGTAGAGGTCCGCTTTAAAGAACATAAAATCACAGATATGCATACACACTCTGGTGCACATACACAAATCTGACTTTTGTATTTCCCACCAATATCCATTTGAGTGACAATGATCATCAGGAAATATTGTGGGAAAATTTCTGCAACCAGGACAAAGATTCTGATAAAAAACCTGACAGGGGTTATAACTAGGGATGCACCGATACCGTTTTTTTGGTATCAAGTATGAGTACTGATATATTTTGTTTCTGTACTAGCTGATACCGAATACCGATACCCGAAGTCCCATTTAGGGGAGCTGGCTCCGTGCTCCCTCGTCACCAGGTGACTAGGAAGCATGGAGCTGGCTTTCCGGCGAATCAGAAAGCCAGGAGGCGGGTAATGACTCACCGCCCCCGGCTTCCTGATTAACCAGGAAGCCAACCCCATGCTCCCTTGTCACCAAGTGATAAGGGAGCATGGAGCCAGCTTCCCGGCCAATCAGGAAGCTGGGCGGCGTCCTGATACATCAGTTCTGGTATCAGGATAGTATTCGGTGCATCCCTAGTTATAACACTTTCACCGTAAATATTCATGACTTTATATAAGGTAATACATAATAATAAATTATAAGTATAAATATAGAAAGAATACATTAGAAGGTAATAAATCACTCACAATATTTAAAAGCGTCAAAAGATATTTTTGCACATATTCTTTTCCATGAAATCGTACAACAGAGTCATCTGCTCCAAGAAGAACTTCAATGTTGTAATCATTATCACTTGCATGTCTACGACTTCGCTTCCGTGTCCTGTTGATATGATTTTCAAGACTGCGAACCATGTTTTCAAGGGCATTTGAGTTAAATGGACCCGTTTCTGAAAAATAAAATGTTTGGTTCACAAAGCTAGGCTAAACATATTGCAAAATTCATAAAACTGCACACACTTGAAAAATGTCGTTCTGCACCAAATAAAGTTGCTCAGGCAACTTAAAGTGACACTTAACTCAGGAGTTAAATCTTAAAAAATGCATTCCAGTACCTTAACTATTTTAAAAATGTACTTTATTTGTGTATTACTGTAGATCCTTAAACCATCTCTGAATTCCTGCTGACACTGTCCTTTTGGTAGCCACCAAAAGTAGCCACCCTCCAGGAGAAAGGACAATGCAAGCAAGAATTCAGAGTTGATTTGAGGATCTTCAGCCGCTTCCTTGCACACTGATTCCTAAGATGCCAGCGGATACCTAGACATCCAAGCTAGAGACTGTTTCTGCCTTTCCACTGTAGAGCCTGAACACATGGGCTACATGCAACAGCCAGCCTCCTTGAAAGAGTTGCTATCCCCCACAAGTAGCTGTGTTTGCACTAGACTGTGTTGGTTATTACTAGGGATTTCTTCTTATACTCCTTTTTTTTTGCTGCTGCGTGGAAACTTTGAGGGAACTACCAATAGACTGCCCTGTGCCACATTAGTTCCACTGCCTGTTAGTCTCTGTTCACATGTGTGCAATGCGGCATCAAACATGGGTTGCAGAGCGTTTTTTTAGGCTTTACCTTGCATACGGCAGTAGAGCAGCCCATTCATTTGAATAAGCAACATACTTACTAAAGAAGTGCATGACCCTTTTTTTTTTAAATCATGTTGCACCACAACATGAGCTGCCAGGAGAGTGACTGTTCCAGTATAGAGGGGAGCAGACGCACAAGAAAAGATATACAGATTCTAGTGGTAAGGGATTTAGGCGAACAGGCAGGGTAATCTGTCACAGAGAACGTGATTTCTAAACAGTATGTTGTTTACCGAGCACTCGGGTTTGGCATATTGTGGATCAAATGAACAGATATTTGGGTGGGGCTGGGGAAGACCCGGCTGTCATGGTACATGTTGGTACCAATGACACACGTCAGGGGAAGATGGAGTGTCCTAAAGAAAGTTTTCAGGGACTTAGGTAAGACACTAAAGAAAAGCACCTCCAAGGTGGTATTTTTGGAAATACTTCCTGTACCATGAGCCACATCAGAGAGACAGCGAGAACTAAACTCATGAGAGGCATGGAGGAGCTCAGCTATGAGGAAAGATGAACTGACCTGAATTTGTTCTCTCTGGAGAAGAGGCGATTAAGGGGGGACATGATCACTATGTATAAATACATAAACGGTCCATATAGTGAGCTTGGTGCCAAATTATTCACTTTAAGGTCACTGCAAATGACAAGGGGGCACTCTTTGCATCTGGAGGAAAAGAGGTTTAACCTTTGCATACGAAAAGTATTCTTCACAGTTAGAGCTGTGAAAATGTGGAAAAGACTCCCTCAGGAGCTAGTTCTAGCTAGTTCAGTTAACTGTTTAAAAAAAATCTGGATGTATTCTTAAATGCACAGAATATTACTGGATATTGAGTTCCTATACTGTGACAGAACACAAGGCATGGTAGTAGAGGGTGTCTATATTCCCCCAACAGTGCTCCACTCTATAGTTTTGCGTCAGGGCCGGCCTTAGGGGTGTGCGAGCGGTGCGGCCGCACAAGTTGCCATGGCAATTGACACATAGTACTATGTGTAACCAGTTATGAATGAACAGGCTGTGATTTACATCACAGCCTGTTCATTCAAGATTTCCTCAATGGGGAGAAGCACTCAGTACAGAGGCTCCTCTCCATTCAGAACCTGCTGATAGTAAATATTTTACTATGATCAGTTTCTGAATGAATGGGAAGTCTCTGTACTGAGTGCTTCCCATTCATTGAGTGCTGAGGCTGCAGAAAAATAAATTGAGGATTTGGTGTCCTCAATTTCTTTTCTATTTTAAAAGGGAAATGTCAGGGGTCTGTTTGGACCCCTAATATTTCCCCGAAGCCCCCCAACAGTAAAAAATACATTAATTAATTGAATTTTTTTTAAAATAATAAATGTTTTTAAATTATTTTACAAAAGTGAAAACTAAACCCCCCCCCAAACACACATACATATTATTAGACATGTGCGAAGACTAAACATTCATTTCACATGAAATGAACGAAAACTAAAAACTTTTCATTTGTTTCATCAAACAAAACAAATGTTTATGCTATTCAGCCATTGGCGTGTTCTGGAGGCAGGGCGCATGACGTCATATAACACCGCACATGTTGGGTGCCGCCATCTTTGTGTATATCTTGGTATACACCATGATGGCGGTCATATATCGGCGTGTGACGTCTGGGTTTAGTGTTATGTTTTTTATTTTTATTTTTCTAGATATACTTACTTGAAAAAAGGGATCGGCATGACAACCTGGCACTTTATTTTTATAGACTCTATTTTAGTTTGACATTTATTGTTTGCCTTCTGTTGTTTTATTTGATAAGAATACTTATAGTGTGCCTATAAGTTTAATACCTTTGAATAAAAGTTTTATTTTTATCATACTTTTTAATATATTTTTGTTTGCGGCTTAACAAGGATATTGGGGGAAATGGGTGTGGTTACTGGGGGTGTGGCCACTGAGGGGTGTGGTCACTGAGGGGTGTTATAAAGCTTTCTCGCACACGGCTTGAATTATGACAAATCACGGCTTGTCATCACAATTATGACAAATCACGGCTTGCATGTAATGAGTCTATCTCATATATTTGTTTCACCTTTTAAGTTGCATTAGTGAAATAAATGAACTTTGCACGATATTCTAATTATTCGAGTTTCACCTGTATGTGTCTGTGAATGTTCTCATTGATCCAGGTCATGGTATACAGGTATTCCTCACTTAACGACTGAGTTTCGTTCCTACGACCAGGTCGTTAAACGAATTGGTCATTAAGTGAGGAACTCTATACAGTACTGTACTGCATTAGTACAGTACTGTATAGCGTTGCAGATGTACAGTACTGAACAGTGTACTATACACCGGGCAATGAAAATACTTACTGGGACCTGCAGTGAAGATCGGAGGACATCACTTCCGCCGGCGACACGTCGCGCTGACGCGCAAGGTCGATTGGCGGTCCGTCGTAAGTGCGAGTGGTGGCAAAGCAGGTAAGTCGGTAACCGAGAAATGTCTGTATCTGTAAAAAATAAGTCAAGGCAAGTGGACTTGCTGTATTTTTCTTGAAGATGTTTCACTGGTCATCCAACCAGCTTTCTCAATTCTGAATTTAAAAAAGCTGGTTGGACGATCATTTAAACGTCTTCAAGAAAAATACAGCAAGTCCACTTGCCTTGACTTATTTTTTACAGATATATAATTATTTAACTTAGAGAGCTGAACAAGTGGCTGCAAAACTGGTGTACAAACGAGGGGTTTGGGATTTTAGAGAACTGGGCTGACTTCTCAGTCGGCTACCAACTCTACAGCAGTGATGGACTGCACCTAAATGGGGAGGGTGTAGCTCTGCTAGGGGAGAAGGTGGTAAAAAGATTAGAGGGCCTTTTAAACTAGATTCTGGGGGGGAGGAATCAAAGAATAATAAGCCAGGCAACAAACTGAAATTAGACTAAAAAAAACAATATAATTGAAGGGGGATTAGAGGATGTGGTGGTAACCTCAACAGAGAACAGTGAATCTGTAGAACTAAAATTAAATGCACAAGATTTGGATGCATGCAGCAGTAACCAGACTGTGGGCAACAAAAAAACGTAAACACAGGTAAAAACTGTCTGAATGCTAGAAGCCTGGCAAACAAATTAGAGGAATTAGAACTTGTACTACAAAGAGAGGAATATGATCTAGTGGGAATATCGGAAACCTGGCTAGAGGTCTTGCATGGCTGGGTAGCAAATATCAGGGGATATTCATTATTCATATGGCATAGGGAAGGAAGAAGACGGGGAGGTGTATGCCTATACGTGACGAATGACCTGGCAGTGAATCTGCATGATGATATAGCTTAGGAGAAAGGAGATAGGGCTGAACTACTATGGATAGAACTGGAAATGAATGGAAAAAAAAAGAGAAATTACTGGTGAGTGTATGCTGCAAGCCTCCAAAGGTTAGGGAAGAAGAGGAGACCCATCTATTTTCACAGATAGAAGGCAAGGCAATGTCATAATAATGGGGGACTTTAATTATCCAGATATAGATATGGTAACAGAAACAGCTAACTCAAGAAGGGCCCGTCACTTCTCGAACACTCTCTGAGATAATTTTATGGGACAAAAAGTGGAATCAACCACTAGGAAAGATGCTTTGCTGGATTTAACAATTACTAACAACTGTGTACTCTGAGCTAATTGCAGACGTGGAAATCAGGGTGAACCTAGGGGGCAGTGACCACAGAATGATCACATTCACAGTTAATTCCAGGAAATGTAGACATGTCGGCACAACACGAACACTCAATTTTAGGAAGGCTAACTTTAAAAAGCTGAGAAACCTACTAGGAGACATAAATTGGGATGCAATCTTCCTGAATACGAACATGAAAGAAAAATGGATTAGTTTCAAGGGAACCTTAAATAACAAAATTGGCCAGTGCATCCTGTTTACCAATAAATTCAATAACGCGAAAGTAAAACCAGGGTGGTTACCTAGCAAGGTAAAACAACATATAAGGGAAAAGGATTGCAAAAAATTTAAAAGAGCAATCAGGGCTGCAAAAATATGAAGAGCAGATAGCAGCAGAAAGCAAACAGAACACCAAGAAATTATTTAAATAAATAAAAAGCAAAAGGGTACGGACAGAACATGTAGGCCCAATAATAGACAAAGAGGGGAGGTTAGCTACCAGGGACAGGGAGAAAGCAAATGTGTTAAAATTATTTTCTTCTGTTTTTACAGATGACATGGACATGGGTAACTACTAGGGCATCAGCTGCAGCAACAATAATAAAAGTTTTGACGTATCTCAGTGGGTGTCGGAGAGCAGAGTAGTATAGAGGCTAGAAAGATTAAATGTTCACA